ATTTTTTTATAAACTTGAAACCTTAGAATGTTTTTTTACTTGTGTTGGTGGATCATATACATTTTTTCAACAAGAAAACTATCTAAAAATTTGCGAATCATTAACGCATTTTAAATTTATATCGAATTTTGCATATAAAATTTCCTAAAAAATCTTTGCTGAGGCAGGTGAAACAAGTTATTACCAAATTATGGTTTGGCCTTTATGAAGGGTCTTCCTGATGCTCAAGACCCCTTTTCCCCGCGGGGCCACACTTAAAATGTCGTTACCCTGCCTGGCAATTTGGTTTTCGCTTACGGTTGGGAAAGGTTTCCTTTTTGTCTCTTTTTGTGTTGGTTAGGGGCGGGAAAACTTCCATAAAAAGCTGAAGTGAGACATAATAATAAAGCAACAAAAGACAATTCAGGTCGTAAAAATACAAAATAAATGTTATAAATGTAGCCATAAAAATTACAACAAGAATGGGGCCAACCCACTCCGGAGGTTGGCTTGCAACCTCTGGCAGCGTAAAATATTTTTAACTGATTGATACTCGAGGGGTGGGGGTTGGAGGTCATATAAGTGGGCCTGCAAGTGTTTGTGTTGGGTTTGTGTGGCACACACACACACACACACACGTGAAGCACCATTAAGGGGACGCGAGGGGAAAGGGAATGGGTGACACTGACGAGTGACGCCGAAAAAGAGGCAAACACTCGCACGCAGGCAGACGCACGTGAAAACAAATGAGAAAAAATATGTTACAAAGTGTCGCACATGACACACACTCACTCGCACCCACACACGCAAACACTCTCGTCCATATGCAAAGTCCTTGTTTTTTATACCCTTGCAGAGGGTATTTTAATTTTAGTCGGAAGTTTGCAACGCAGTGAAGGAGACATTTCCGACCACATAAAGTATATATTTTCTTGATCAGCATCACTAGGAGAGTCTATCTAGCCATGTCCGTCAGTATGTCTGTCCGTCCGTCTGCCCGTCCGTCTGTCTATCCGTCCGTTTCTACGCAAACTAGTCTCTCAGTTTTCAAGCTATCTGAATAAAGCTTTTCCAAAAGTTGTCTTTCTTTTGCAGGTAGTACATAAGTCGGAACGAGCCGGTTTGGACGACTATATATAACTCCCATAGAAACAATCGGAAAAAAAAGAAAAAAAATATAACTTAGCTGTTTTTACAATTTTTTAGTAAGTTTTTTTTTTAAGAATTACCGCTTAGATTTAAATCGGACGACTATGTCATATAGCTCCCACGCACAAAAACCGGAATATTAAAAATATTAATTTTAACTCCTCAAAAATCTGTCATTTTTGATGGACAGATGTTGAACAAATAAATATTATATATACCAACCAAAAATTTGTTTCTATATATTTATTTTGTTAGTATAAAAACAGTATTACTTTTATTGTGAGTATAGAAACAGTAAGCAAATTATCGCCATAAGAGCGTGGAAGTAATTAAGTGATTTATTCTACAATTGATTTGGTAAGTCTGCATTAAGTACAAATTCTTTGAGAAAATAAATAATTAAATAATTGTTATAACTGCAAGGGAATATAAACTTCGGCTTTCTTGTTTTGTTTTAAAAAAAGTTTTGTGTAAAAAAATTATCAAGTGTTTGCTTATTTAATAATATACATGAATACTTTTAAAAATATTTAAATAGACTAACATGTAGAAAATAAATAGAAACTGTGTCATTTTAAATTAAATCCCTCCCAAAATATCCGATTCAATTTTATTAGCCCAAAAATATACCATTATAATTGTTTGGCCGAAAATAAAATACATCAAAAGAGATATGTTTAGATAAGCACGAACTTCAAATTATTTAGGTAAAAACATTTTAAAAATAATACCGACTAGATTTTATGTTTTTAAATACAAATTAGTAAATAAACAGAAACAAGTTATTGCCTAGTTCTTTCTTCATTTCCTGTTGCAGAAAGTTCATAACTTTGTCCGAAATATGATTTTCTGTTGTCAAAAAAGGACATTAAATAAACTATACAAAGTTTAGGAACTTTACAGTTTTTTTTAAATTGTGGTTTTGTTATTTGTTTTTTTCCGTGCACTGACTCAGTTGCACACCTACGGGAGCCTGCCACTTGCTCGCCTCGTCATGTCCTGGCAGCAACTTTTACATTGTTTGGCTTCGAGCGTTGTGCCATTTTTACTTTGGCTTTCATGGAGACATGGGGGTAGGTGAGAACGGGTAAAAGGGGGGGTTTTTGGGTAGGTGTCGCCTTTGTGTCATCCTCGTCGACGCATTCGTGTCAAATTTATTTCTTCTCCCCCTCTTTTTTTTTGCTTTGTATTTTAGTGTAATTTTGTTGATTACAACGTTGTTGCCTTTCTCCTTTCTCCTTTCCCTTTCTGTGTGGGCATGACATCGTTGAGTGTGTAATTTATTTGGAGTGATCCTGAATTATACATGCATGTGCGTGGCGTAACTGCAAGGATATGGCTCTGGCTGTCTTTAAATTGTAATTAAAGTTTGGGTTCATATTTGGAGGCAACTTGACCTGATTTGACATTTTTTATTTAAAAAACTCCAGATTTAAACAAAAGTTAACTCTTAAAAAGAATATTATTCAATCAAATTAAATTTAAATAAAAATAATATTAGTTAATTGATTTGGTAAATATAAATCACATAGCAAAATAAATGAATTTTGCATTTTGTTATTCAAAAGACTTTGATTTAATAAGACCGCAAAAACCAAAAGGGACAAGCCCAGAAAAGTATGCTACATTTGTCGGTGCTTTCCACCTTTATTACGTTGTCCTTTTTATCTTCGCCATTTTCTTGCCCCCTGGCTAACGATTTTACGGCCACATTATTACTTTTTATGACGGCACAAGGGAAAGTCATGTTTCGGGCTTGTTAATATAAAAATTGCGGTGGAACCACCGAATTCTGGCACCGCCCGCGGCCAGACTCAACGCCAAAATGTCTAATGAAATCCAATAAATTAGAGAGATTTATACAAAAGCTTTTTGCCCATGGCTCTGCAGCCCCCCCCTAAAATATATTTATCCGCTTCCCTTCCCGGCCAGCACCTTATTTCGTGGTTGGCATAACTTACATTATGTTTAGGCTGGACGAAGGCAAATTATCGGGTTTTCAGCAGAGTGTAAATTCTTTGAATAACAACAATTGCGATAGGGAAAACTTTTCCGCTTTTCCCTGCCACTTGTCACACCCCATTGTCTTTTGTTGCGAATGAACCCACGAAACGCAGAGCAGATAAAAGCTATCGGATAAGAAGTTTAAGGTTTTTCCTGAACAACCGAATCTTTAAACTTAAACCAAAGTCAATGCTCCAATAAATTGTTTCATTTTATCACCCCACTCAATTCAATTAAAATGGCTTTATTATTCCTTTGTTGTACTATCTCTTTGTCCTTGCGCGCATAAAAGTTTAATTGATTTTCCATGTTTGTTTAGCAATGGCACATAAAGAAACCAATGGCAATGGGTAAAAACAAGAGCAAACAGTGGCCATAAATCGGAGGGGCATGACTGTGCCAGATTCAGTTCAAAAATTTAATCAACCTTACTGTGACAATCTTGGAGAGTATTTTTGGAGGCGGCTCCCTGGAGCCACTTTCCTATAAATCTTGTGCCGCTTTAGGAGGTGCAAAATTGTATACATAAAATACTTCTACGGATTCGCATTCGTTGAGGTAATGTTTTAAAAATGATTTATGGATCCGCACCCCCCATCTCGCAAGGCAGCAGGCGAAAACAGAGCGGATGGAAGGAAGGACGGCCATGTGTGAGGATCGGAGGGGCGCTCGGGGAGCTCAGGACCCGGCACCTCAAGTGCTCGACCAGCCATGCAATTACATATATCAGCGAATGGGAACGGGAACTCACTGCGGGGTGGCCCGCAAAATAAGGAAGCTTCCGTTGTTATTTTTGTGCATGTTACAGCAGGGGCGAATGCATAAATTATTTAAAATTACCCGGCACACCAGTAGAAGACTCTTCAGTTCCCGTGGAGGCAAACTCAAGCTTGTAAAGTGCGTGTTACATTGAACAAATAATATTTGGAGTGCAATAAATAGATGATAAATGTCTTTTAGCCGACCCAAGAGTTCCTGGAGAAAGTTAATCAAAGCGTTTGAGAAATGGGCATATCCTGGCAGAGGAACTGCATAGTTGGAAGGGTTTACTGTCTTGCAGGGAGCAACTTTTGTAAGCGTTTAATAAACAAAAGGCTTTGGTGTTCATTAATCATTACAGCAAATATTTCCCTTCACTTCTAGACTTAACGAGTTTCTGTGTATTTTCAATGGCACATTCCCTGTTAGTCTATATAGTCACACAGTTTTCAAGCAGACATATTCCGGCATAAGTGGAAACGAGCCGAATCGGAAGACTATAGCATATAGCTTCCATAGGAACAATAGAAAATAAGGGTAACAAATTATTACTTTGCTGTTTTTAATTTTTTTTAGTTCTTCGAGGTGTAGTTATTGTTTATTATTTCAGTATTACAGTTTAAATTTGATTAAAATCAGACGAGTTTATAATAAAGCTCCCATGGGAATATTAAAAAAAAATAAGTAAAACGAATTGTAACTTTACCAATTTTTAATTTTTTTTTAGTTGTTTTGGAAATACCAATGGCTTAATAATTGAGAAATACGTAGCTGCCATAGGAACGATCGAATAATTGAGCAGAAAACTATCATGGCTTTAATGTTTTTAAGCATATACGCATACAAATCGAAATTGAGATGATTTAAAGAATATCTCATTTTTGCCACAGCTGCAAGGGTGCATAAACTTCGGCTTGCCAAAGTTTGCTTCCCTTCTTGCTTTTAAAAGAATTCTATTAATAATTGTTTATTTTTATAATAAATAAATGTTTTTCAACTACCTACTGTTTGTATTTATTTGTAGAATTTTGTATTCAATGCTTTTAACAAACATAAATCATTATTAAGCTGTTTTCGTTTAAATAATCCTCTTAGTGTTCACTTTATCCTTAATGCTTGGGTTTTAAACTAAGTTCCGAACCGATAAAGATTTCCTTTTCGGCCACCAAAGCAGTTTTTTTCCACATGTAGTGCAGATGCAGAAGGCTCCAAAAGGCGAAGAGAATGCGGAACAAGAGTCGTCTGTTGGGCGTGACCAATCCGAGAACGAGTGGCGTCCTTTGGAGGCAACAGCGCCTCGAGCTCTGGCCAAAGGAGTCGGCCTGCTGGAGTCCCCATCGCAATCTCTTGTGCTCCAACCATCCATGGGTGGCCAGGACCTGCTCGAACTGAAGGTTCTGTCCTGCGGAGCAGCAATGGTGGCCACCAGCTCGTCGAGGATGCACAGCAGCGATCGCAGACTGTTGACGATGATGGCAAACTGGAAAACACGCCCCCACCTGCCACTCGAAAAGGTGTAGATGGTGCTCAGGTAGTAGAGGACAATCAACAGCAACTGGGGACTCAGGCAATCGATCAATTCGCGGGTGATCCTCTCATAAGATCGATGCAGGCGCTGCAGGGAAGACAGACGCCTCTGTAACCTCCGTACCGCTGGAAAGTCCGATGGCAGGATCTCCAAACAAAGCGCTTCGTCGATGGCTGCCATCTCGGCGTTCACCATCTCAAAGGACTTGAGCAGCAGCGAGAGGACGATGATGATCAGGTGTGAGGTGATGTCCATCACCCAAATGGCCAGCGAAACGGGCACCACGAAGAGCACAATGAAGAGCACCTTCCAGCTGGTGGCTATTGGACCCAGCAGTTCCTCGTAGAACATGCGAAGGGTGAGCAGTTTAAGGAGCAACTGGAGCACCAGGATCCAGGACAAGTGCAGCTTCCGCCTGCAGAGGCGACACAGTTGCGGCATTATCCGCAGCATTCGGTTCGCCAGTCGCTCCCGCTCCTCGAGCACTCCTCTGGGCTGGATGAGCAGGCAGCAGGTGAAGCCCACCAGTTGGAGGTGCAGCATCAGGGCATTGGGATCCCGGAGGGCCAGCGTGAAGAAGAAGCCGAACCAGAGGCCAAGTGCACCTCGTTGTGGGACTCCTCGTAGCGGAGGTGCATCAGGCCCAGGTAGTAGAACTGCGCCAGGTAAAAGCGCAGCAGGAGCACGTGCCGACTGATGTAGCGGTTGCCCAGGCGAAGCGAACGCCACAGGGCCATCGATGAAATGGATTCTCCAGCTGGGTTCCCCCTAGAGTTGCCATAATAATGGCCGTCGTTTGGTGGATAATGCTTCAGTAATGGTCCTCTGATGTCCACCAATCGGGGATGAACTGTGGAGCAAGGAGTTACATATGCGCTCACTTATTTTCCATTTGCTTTAGAAACTAAACTATTCTGGCATGAATTTTAAATTATTGTACTTTCAATAAGATGAGTATTAAGTTAACACCAAGAAAGTATCAAAAACAAAGGATAAACTTTCCGATACTAAATTATTCCAGCTAATCGTTTTTACACTATTCTATGGTGTTTAAATACTTGGTCGCGAGATTTAAGTAAATTTACATAAGCATTTATCTCAATAGTTCGCTATGTGTCTAATTTAAATATATTTGGCCAGGCATCATTTTAATTTAAAATAATGGATTATTTATAAAACTATGAAATTGTGACCAGCCACGAACCAATGCATTTAAACAGCAAACTCATTCCTGCCATATCTCAATGTACCAAGAACTATATATGTATGACCTCGCAGTCTATCACTCTGCTCGAAAAGGCAGTTATACGTCAATGATATTCGATTATTAGACAGTCTAACACAGAACCTCAAAACATCAAAACAATTAGAAGCGCAACTCTATTTAAAAACCAATTTAAAAAATCATTATATATATTATATTACAAAATCATAGGAAAAAAATAATAGATACAAATTCTTCAATTCATCTATAGTATATAGATGTTAGTCTTAAGACAATGATGTTTATATTGAATGTGCATTTTATAATGATTGTGTTTTTTAATTATTGTATAAGTACACGCTTGTAGCGTTAAAATAAAACATCAAATATAATATTAAATAAAATTAAAAAATAAGACTACAGCTTTGAACTCTTCGTTAAAGAACTGAAAATAAAAAGTATATGGGTTATATTATTAAGTAATGAATTAATAGTTATTATAGTTATAACTATACTTTAATACTGTCTCTAGTTAATTTTAGTAACGCACTTATTTTTTTGCGTGTAGTTTCCCATTCTTTATCTATCAACTTCTTAACTTTTTACTTTGAAATCTGCACAACTCACTTCGTTTTTAAAGAGCTTTTTGCTTTAGTATTTTAGAGTGATTTGGCTGTGAAATTGTAAAATATACG